TAGATACCAAGTAATTTGTGTAATTGTAGATACAATAATTTTTAATTAATTAATAAAGTCAAAAAACAAATTGTAACTAAAAATTAAGATTAAAAGAGAAGACATCGGCCAGGGGCATTATATTAATAATTGAAAATAGCTAATCTAAATTTGTTATCATTCCAACAAATTAAATTAATACTGCCAACATAACATTATGAAATAACAAAGATTAATAATATTAATAATATAGGAAATGAACAAGTCAAAACGTCAGGTGGTTATTAATTCATAATTGGTTCTTTTAGATACTAAAATGGTTGCTAGCACGTTGACTGTCAAGAGCTGATTAAAGCACATTATGTCTAGTACTGTTTGATCATAATCACATATGTAGTTACATAGAGATATCAGTTTGTAAATAATTAATAATAATAGAATATTTGATCGTCAGCGAGTTTCTTGAGCCAAGAAATTTTTAATTGAACGAAAGTATTTTTTTTTCTCAGTGTTCAATGTTTTTTTTTTATAAAATTCAAGTATCAATTTGTAACCCTTGTAATTACATCGGATAAAAAAATTAGTAATTATTTAGAAGTGGCTTTTCAAAAATAGAAAAATATATAAAAAAAAAAATTTTTTTAATTTCGATTTTTTTTTACTTTTGTAAAAATCCGAAAATTAAGAAATTGACATTTCAAAATGGTTTTTTCATACTATATTTATTTGGATAAATTTTATTAATTATTTTAAGTAAATATTTAACTATTTTCAATTTCAGAAGTTTCTAATCAATTCGATAAATTCATATTTTATTATTTTCCTGATTCTCATCTTGAATGTGACGTGAAAATAAATAGTTGAAAATTTCCGAAAATTTGAATTTTTATTGCTAAAAATAATAGAGAAGTCTTTTTCAATATAATTGCCGAAAAATTGACCGATTTAGAAAAAAAAAATTTCTTTAATCTAAAAATTAATTTTCTTGTTTCAACCAAAAAAGTTTTTGAATAACCAATAATACTTCTAGCTTTAAATAAATTTTACCTGTTTCAAAATCTTTTCTGCAAAAATACCCGCTCCCCAAACTAAATTATAACTCAGAAAATAATACAATATATATAATTATTATGACGATTGTATTATATATTATTTGTTATAATAGAATAATGACATAATTTTCATAAATTGTTCGGTTTGATTTTTTATCAATATTGTATAATTATATTTGTCCCCGCAATCCCACATGTTGTAATCAATCGTACTATTATATATAATATGACAAAATGTCCATACATTGTAACTATAAAACTTAATAAGAGCTTACATTGTTCATCATGTGGCTTCCCCTAATATTTTATTTAACGTATCCGCACAACCCTCAAAACTATCGAGAATGAAGAAAACAAAACTATACTATAATTTTGATTACACGCAGACAGAATCAGGATTAAAAAATGATAATTACACACTTGTACATAATGATGAGTTAAAACTATCAACTATCATGTAGTGCATTTACCTATTCGAAGATTATAAGCAGATCACTAGGATCAAAACTTACTGAACAGCTGGCTTCATTTTTGCAAACATATCAATCATCAACGAATAATATATCGCTTCCGAAGAAATCCAAATTAAATATTCAATATCCATTGTACATCATATCGAATCTTCTATTGCATAATAATTTATAATTTAATGATTAGTTGATGTTGAATTAAATTTAATCATAAATTAGTAGATAATACCTAACAGAACATGTACTTATTTAACTATAGTTATAATCTGTAATTATATATTGTAAAAAAAATTGCAAAATAAGCGCAGATTAAATACGGATAAAGATATGATTTTTTATTTAAATTAGTTTAGTTTTTAATTTATATTATTTACAAAAACCTCCAAGGGGTAAAAATTTAGATATTAAATCATCACAATGTTTTTTAACTTTTCGCTTTAAAAATTAATAATTTTAAAAAGTAGGAAGTTATAGATTTCGGTCCGATTTTGAAAATGCGGATTTTCATCAGATTTCCACTTTTTAAGGTCCTAGGAAGGCCATTGCGACTATTTCCGACTAGACCAATATTTAAATTAAGACATTCATAATCTCTGACTTTTATTTTGACAATATAAAAAAATCAACATTTCTTTTATAAAAAAATATTCATTTTAATTAAATAATAACATTCAATTTAATTTTTAAATTTATAAACCAAATTTTATTGCGTAATTTATATATAAACATCTGTTTCATCAATTATTAACAAATTACCGAGATAAAAAAAATTAAACCAAACTTTCATCGGCTGTTTATTTACATACACACCTGGTTAATTAAATCCTTTTATTCATTATTCATCCTTATATGAACAAAATGTAATTTAACGAAAAGATTGATCTATATGTCGATAAAATCAGTACAATAGTACAGAAAAAAAAATAAAAATGTACAAATGATTAATTTGTTTAAGAAATTTCAATAAACGTACGATAAATAAGGCTATTAACGTTATTAATTGAGCAAAAAAAGTAAAGATAAAATAATTGAAATATGACGGTATACTTTTTAAATTGTCCAGGTTGTCATCATAACGTTAATGTATGCAATATACATCTGCACTGAATCACGACTCAGTGTGAAATCAGAAAGACTCGACTTATTACAATCTGGCCCCTCGCTCTTGTTAATTACCGATATTCTACAGATGTACGTGCTAATAATTTGGAGCAAGAAAAAGCTTGCATCTGGCAACAACTTTTACGACGATAAAGTGAAATTACTTTCCGCTTGCTCCAGATTTAATTATTACCTCGTTAATATATTGTGTATATCAAATAGTATATGACTTACTTTCAATAAATAAAAAAAAAAAAAAAAAAAAAAAAAAACATCTTCCTGAAAATCCATAAACTGCAAGATGTATTTAACCTGGTGCTTATACTTGCTTGGAATGACACAAAAATTTTAAAATCCATAATTACAAGCAGCCGTTTATTATTTATTATTATAAAAAAATTTTGATAAAATCCTTGTTACAATGTTATAATTACTAAACCATTAAATTGATACTTTTAATTTTTATAGCATAATGCACCTGCTTACGCTCAAATTTTTTGTTTTATTTTATCACAAATTTTCATTGTCAAGTATAAAAAATTCAAGTCAAAGTTTCTAAAAATAAAAACTTTAATTTTAAATAAATTGTACCCGAGTTAAGATGGTGCAATAAAAAATTCTTATTTTTTCATTTGTTCTAATAAAAATTAATATATTCTGTAACTTGATAAATTTTTTGGCACGTAAGAACTTTTAAATAATATAGGATAAAATGACAACTGCCTATTCATATATTTTTTTGCAGTTTAGCCCTGGTTAGCCGTTTTAACCCCAGGTTTGCAGATGATTCATGTTACTGGATGATTTATTAAGCATTCAAATCGTTTCATTAAAATTTCTTGTCGGAATTCCAAATTTTTTTTAAAACGAAATTATTTCAAGCGATCGTGACTCACTATTTAATATTAATAACTCGTAATTATACGAATTTGCATCGAATTATCGATTATAAAAAATATTAATTGTTTTTGAAAATAAAAAAAATCTTTTTTTAAGAAATTTTAAGCTTTAAATCTGAAAAAATGTTTTTTTCATATTAATTACAAAAATAATAAATAATTAATCATAAATATACTATTTCCAACATATATTTGTATATATAAAATCTTGTACATAAAATATACAATCATAAATCATTTTAAATTATTTTTAAATAAAAAAATGGTTGCAAAAATTACATCAAAATATAAAGATTTGTATTTTTCGAAGTCAAGTTTTGTATAATCTCATTAAAAAAAAAATTATAAATGACACTGGATGTATGTCACTTCAAGGAAGCTTTTAGTTTTTTTTTTTATTTCAATGTTAGTAAACTAATTAACAATAAACTTCGTTCTCTAAATTCAAGATTAAAACAATGGATGTATAAATCCTTTTATTTCAATTTATCTACAGTAACTGGGTATTAAGTCACACTAAAGTCTTATTATAAATTATTTACTTTTTCTATAATCATAATAAAGTAATCATATGCAAAAATAACCGCTATATAGGCGATTTAACAACTAGAAATACCATATTATCTAACATGGCATCGATCACAACTAATATCAACTAAATATAAAACGCAAATATGTTAAAAAGAAATTATAATTCTTTAATTTTTTGGTTTTAATCATTACTCATTTTATAAACATATAAATATAGAAAATTACAAAAAATCATTAGATTATTCGTGGTTTTTTTTTTTAATATATCGTAGATTTAAATATATAAATCGATTTAATTAGTTTATTATAAACATGTACGCATACAAGCTAATTTATATAAAAATTTTCACAGTTTAGATATGTATCAGATCTGGGTACTTTTTTTAACAAAATTGCATTTTTTCGTCTCAAAAATATTTCAGCAAACTTGCTTTGAGAAATTCATAAATAATTTTTCATATATGATGTGCAAAATTATTAAATAATTTTTCATTTTTCATAAAGTTTCGTTACAACCTATTAATTTTATAATTCAAATAAAAAAACAGCATAGATAGATTCAAGTCTAAAAATGTTGAAAATTATCTAACGATAATTAAATATCTGACGAAAATAAATTTTTTAAACAATTTACATACAATTAATAGTAGGTATAGATAAATTAAATTTATCTACCTGGAAGTCCATAATTGATAAATATCCACAGACATTGTCAATCTGTATTATATGTATGATTGGCATTAATATAAATGCGCTATATGTAATTATAATAGTAATATTATATAAACTTAATAAATAAATAACTTAGAATTATGGTAATATATGATATTACTTTTCACATAATATATAAATGAACACAGATTATAACGTTGAAATTCCAACAATGATAATTAAATTTAGATGTAAATAAATAGTAATAATATTAAAATAAAATAAAAAATTTATAAATAAATTTTGATGTATAATCATCAAACTGGAGTACTGTCGTCTGAATTTTTTATTGAAGCAGCTGCTTTAACAATATCCCCATCACATTGATTCAGCATTACTTTACACTCCTCAAGACCTATAAACTTATTTTCTTTCTTTAATAACGCCTGAAGACGTTCTAATTTAATAGCCGCTAATATATCCCAATTAGCGACATTGAGAGCGGTAACACAGGATTCAGGTGTTGATTGATCTTGCAAAACTTTCAACATTATACGAACCTCATCTGAATGAGCTCCATTATGGGGGCCACGTGTTCTGCGTACATTTGGTCGGTCGCACGCAAATTCAAGTAAATCTTCACATGATACATGGTCAGACTGACGATAAAGATCACTTCCACGTGCGCTTCTATCATCAGTTTCTTGTATTTTCGATACGTTACCTGTTGTTGTTTTTGGTGATTTAAATTTTTGATCTTCATCTGAATCTGATTCATTCGCGGTTACATTAGCATCAAAGGGATTCAATGGACTTGATGTTTTATTTTGTAAATAACTAAATTCTGTCAATGCCTGCGCGTTCGATTTAACTGGTGCTAAAGCATCAGATTCGTCCCCATTCGAATTCAAGCTGGTTGATCGTGGGCTATTTACATCATCTGTGATATTTTTGTTATCTGAATGGGTCTCAGTTACTACATCAAATGATAATTTGGTGACGTTTTTACTTTGAGAGTTTTCAGAATTTATTAAATAATTTGAATTTTTAACAGCATCGCTGTCTATTTTTTTGTGATTATGTTTTGAACTATCATCTGATAAATCGGAATTCTCGAGCAAATCTTCAGAAATCATTCCGCAAGGATGCGAACAATTATTTTCAAGAGACAATGAGTCTAAAGCTGCTAGTTCAGAATCGATGCGTCGCTCGAATTCATCTGGACTGTAACAAATTTCATTTGGATGTTTAAATTTTTAATATTTAAATTTATTTTTTAATCTTTTTTAAAATTGATTATTTTATTAAAAAATGTTTTCTGGACTTGTAACAGTTTACATGGAATTAATTTAATTAGTAACTATTTTGTTGATGTTGTAACAATTAACAACTTAAATTTGTATTTTTTTTTTTTTTCAATTCAACAAATGTAACATTTTTTTTTTTCTTTTTATATAAGACAATAATATGGTACTTTGGATTTAATACAGCGCAAAAAAATTATGATTCACTATGAGTTCTATATAAAATTTAGATTTTGAAATTAAATTGACTTCATAAAGAATTTGTTAAAAAATCATTTTTTTTTTCTTATAGAAATATTTAGGAAAAATTATGTCAAATTTCATGAATTTTTTTTCATACGTTAAATATAGATTCCAAATTATGTGAAAATTTTTAAAAAACTAATTTTAATTTGTCAATAATCAAACTAATATTACTGATAAAATTGTTTTGTATTCATTCAAAATTTTACTTTAATATTAAATTTTTAAATTAAAAATTCGGCTTGTTTCATTGATAAAAAAAATTATGAAAATTAATTTAGCAAATATTTAATAATTTTTAGAACTTGTTAACTAATAAATCATGGCAAAAAAAAATTGACATGTAGAAATTTAAAAAAATTAAGAATGCAATTTTTTAAAAATAATTTTTTAGAGTTAATTTAATTGCTAAAAAAATAAAAATTTTGTCAAGTGACAGCTAACTTTAATGTCATAAAAAAATTTCATATAATCTGAAATCCGTTTTTGAAGTATAAAAAAAAATTTCTTTAAATTCGACTCACTCTTTTTTTTTTTTATTACATTTTGATAATAATATTAAAATGATTTCATGCAAAATAAAAATTTTTTTTAAATCTACATTTCATATAAAATTCATAATTAATAAAAAAATTTTTTTACACGAGAAACAGGAATTATATAAATTATTTTTCATCCATCAAAAAATTCTATTGATAATTTAATTACCTATTAGGTGCTGGATTATTTGAAAGACTAGTTGTCGGAATCATTTGCGTTGAAAAAGATACATTTGGATTGGACAAATTGATGGAAGGAACAACTCCATCAATTTGATCTTCAACTGATGATGTTGCAATAGCTTTGGCTAATGTCCGAGAGATTCCACCTCCAGGAATAATCAATGGGTGCTTGCGTTGGTGTCGTGGTAAATTGGATTTCGATTGCAAAGTCCTTGACCGATCACGAGGCGGCAGTGGAATAGGATTCTCCTCGAAATTATTTTGATTCTGACTATTTTCAATATTCATCAACGAGTTATGCCGTTCTAAAGACTGCGTTGAGAAAATAGGAAGCGAATTGTTTACCAACTCGCCCGTCTTTGGAAATGTTGATGAGCCAACCTGATAAAAATCGGTCGACAGTTTACTGTTATCAGATAATCCGACTGTTTCGTCGATCTGCGGAGTTGTAAGGCCCAAACTGAGTTGTTTGTTTCCACGTACACGAGGCCTCACTGGTAATCCGGATCTCAACATTCGCAGAGGATTCGTGTCGGTTGTGCTGTCTAATGCTTGAGCTTCCACCAGGCTGTTGTACACTTCCTTAGCCTCTTCTGACAAGGTTGCCTAAGTAAGTTGCAGGAAGAAAAAAATAGATTTGGGATAAAATAAAATAAATAAAACAAAATATTGGTTTGAAGGGTAAATTATAAGATAAGAAAAATTTATAAACTAAAAATTATTGTATATATGAGAAAAAAAAAAAACAAAGTTTGAGTATGCAATATAAATAAAATATAAATATAAGCAGTTCATATACTTTTAGGACAAAGCAACAGAAAATTGTATTTTTATTTTTTATAATTAGAAATGAAAAAAAAAATTATTTATAACTTCTTTAATTAGGATATTATACGGAACTCCAGTTTTAAGTATTAGAGCAATTGTTGAATTTTTTTTTTTTAATTTTGCTGTGATTTTTCGGAGGAAAAAAAGGGGGAGATACTACAATACTAACAAATTTATTTTTCACATTGATAGTTTTTGATATTCTTCAAAGTTATACATAAATTAGTTGACTCTCCGCCTTTATTAATCCGCAAAAATTACCCACGTCAAAATTTCTCATACAACAATATCTCAAGTAAAATAATTTCTCAAAACAAAATTTATCACAACATAAATTAATCTGACAAAAATTAATCATCATTTGTGTGTGTTTATTTAATATTAGACCAACACATAAGCTTGTTACCGTGTTATGCCCTTTTATCATGGTTTTTGTGTGTGTTTATCTAAAAATAGGCCAACAGATAAGCTATAAATATTTAAATAAATTTTTGTATAAAAAAATAATACCGAATAAATTTTGACAATGAGAAATAAAGCCTTTAAAAAAATATTGTACAAGAAATTATTGCTGAGAAATTTTGTCGGGAAAAATTTTCGCATGAGAACTTAGTTTCCTCTCTTTACAGTGGAGCCTCGTTAAATTTCAAAAGTTACAATGTTTTGTTGGTCTATTTTCAAACTTCATCAGACATCTACAATAAAGTTAAAAATAAATAAATAAAAAATAATCAAATAAAAATCATTGTGTAATGATTGACTTGGTAATATGAATCAGAAAACTGTTACGATGTTAACCTCGAATGTAAATATTAAATAATTATCCGATTTTTTATTTGATTTTTTATTCTGTATCTGTATTTTATAAAAATTTATTCTGTGTGACTATTTTTTATAGATTTATTTGTAATTTAATTGTAGATGCTTAATTAAGTTGGAAAAGAAACCAACTTTTAAAATTAACGTCGATTTTTAAGTTTCCGATTATTTTATTCTTGTGTCGAATTTTCCAAGTTTTTTTAAATAATTTTAATGTCTGAACAATTTAACTCTTGTATTTTAACCAAATATTATATATTTCTTCTGTATGTTTATTGTAACTTTTATATGGTAAAGCTGCTGTTCTCGTGGGTTGCCAATTTAATAATTGTCTTTAACCAAATAAACTCATTTTGCCATTAACTTACATAATTTTCTAATCATTTAACAATTTAAATTGTAAAAAAGACTATTCAGTAATTTTTTATGATTTTTAAAATTGACAACTGTGAAAAGTTGTAGAAAAAAAAATTTTTGTTAGCATTGCAGCATCTCTCCTAAAAAAAATATGAATAAATATGGATTTAATTTTTCTATTCCAAAAATAAATAAACACGTTTTTCTTGAAGAAGTATCTATAATAATAATAATAATAATAGTAATTATAATAAGAAGGATGTAAATTTAATCATCGATTAAAATAAAGAAATGTATTTATAGTAATAAAAATGATAATATTTATGTATAAAATTTGTTGAATATAAAAATAAAAAAATATATGTACCATTCAAATCATCCATGCAACAGAATTTAAGCTGTTTCATTCTCATAAAATTTATAAAAAATGACAATTATGCCCATTTGTTCCTCAACTTTTAAATTGTAAAAAATTTGTAAATTTTATATATAAAAAATTCAATCACATGATAATCAGATTACTGTCGTTGATATAGTACAAGCATTATAGCATTCTAAGCGTTTATAAATAAGAAATATATGTTAAACATAGTCACATGTATGATAATTATGTTTAAATATGTATATATCGTCTCGACAAACCGGCCCCCGACAACGCAAGAATTTAAAAATTTTTTACTCCTATTTTCTCTACTATAAATTTAGACATTGTTTTTAAAAACACTAATCTAGTCTTAATATACTTTTAATCAATTTATCACTTAATTTCTCACCTACCCGATTTTTGAAATCAATAAATTATTAGTACAATTTTTTTTAGTAAATACAAAAATATTTCTAATTATTTAAACAATTAATTTATCATAAAAAATATACATTATAAAAAAATGTTTACTCGGATAAAAGAATTATCAAATATTATCGTACAGTAATTAATTAAAAGACAAAATAAAGTAGAGGAAACAATATAAAAATTAATATTCGAAAGTCTGATTGTTAATTCGATCCTATTTTCTTACGGCTGTTTTCTTGGTCTAGTCTAAGTAGCCGAGGTCGATAAACCACACCGACCTTTAATCCATGATCACTGTATATACATTCAATACAGTTTCCGTTCCATTCGCACGCAGTACTCGATAAAACTTGAGGGGTTTATAGCCAGTGAAGATCGATCCGACGCTTCACTTTCTCTTACCATTATATTACTTATTATTTATTGTTATTAAGTCTTCTTATTGTCTATTGTGACTTTAACTAAATGTAAATCAAATGCCTCAAATACTTGGTAGGTTAACTGATTAACAGACCATTAATAAACTATCAACTTACATTAATAAAAAATAATAATAACTAATAAAATAACTCTTATTAAATATTCCTCATAACTCACAAATAAATAATAAACTTTCTCAACGATCACTGTGTACAATAAATGATTCCAGTAATTAGCAAATAAAAATAACAGATTATTAAACGATAATTGGTATGTTATATTTTGCAAATTGAAATTTCATTTTTAATACTGTATTTAAAAAATTATAAGTCAATTTCTTAACTTTTATTACGTTATTGTGCATAATGATAAATGTCTTGAGAGAAAGCGAGCAAAGTGTAATTAAATATAACTGAATAATTTATAATAAAAATTCTTAACGTCAAGTACAAAATTATTTGATTTTCTTCTTCCGTACTAAAAACAATATCAGGCCATTTTAAAATTAGAGCAATGCAGATATTCATTATCCAGTCTAGTCGTTGTAATCAGTAATAATTACAATTACCTCATAAATATTTAAAAAATAAATTCATGTGTCATTCATAAATTCTGAGTACTCGGAACTAGTGTCAGAGTCTAAATCTGAATTACTAGTGAAAGTTTGACTTGAACTTGGTGCACTCTCTGGCCAAGATACCGTCTGATTGCATAATGAAAATTGGGACGATAAAGAATTCAAAAAACTCGTTGAAGGCAGTGGTGATTTTTCAGAATTTTGAATAATAGAGTAAGATGATGCGACGTCATTTGGATAAACGCCTAAAGATTCCCGGTTCTTTTTATTGTAACCAACTTTTGAGTTTCCGGATACTTTTTTACGCCGTCGCTGAAATTTCAACCGGCTCCTTATGTCTGTATCGGAGTAAAAAATTGAATCTGAATCATCACTGCACTGACTGCTCGAGTAAAATGATCTGATGCTTTTTCTCGTGGTGTTTTTAACGGCATCTGACAAAGAAAAAGTACGTGGACGACATAAATTTTTATCTATATCTACTTTGTTATTGTCTATTGATCCAGTTTGTTTTATTAGTTTATTATTTTTATTAATTATTTCATTACGACAGCGTCTAGGAAATTCTAATAAACGCTGGTGTGTCTTTGAATTAATTCCCATTTTATTACGTACTGCTGCATTCAAATGTAATTCTAACCCCGTGGCATTGCCTTCATTAGTTAATTTCGCCTGTGCAATGTTATTAACACGATTTGGCGGATCGCGCATCGGGATATTTTCACTAGCCAAAATAAATTGTTCATTTGCTGGTAAATCAATACCAGTATTCAAATCAGACTTAATACCCGGCAATAATTCCAAATTTCTTGAATTACGTGCGATATTTTTGTTATCAAATTGTGTCGATGCGATATTTTGTGAGAATTTTGAAGGATCCTCAGTGCGCTTCTTATCATCTGGATAATGCTTAACATTTTTTGAAGTAAAAACTCCAAAATTATCTCCCATTGAAATTTTACTGTTCAATTGAATTTGATTTTTAGTTTCAATATCCGACTGTAATCTCAAACGTTCAAAGTTTAATCTCAAACTTTCTGAACCGCTGCTGCTAATATCAATGTCTTTTTTAATTGGTTCTGAAATAAAAAGAGGATTGTGTAAAATTGAATACGGCAATAAATCACTTTTTTTCTTGAAATCATTTTTCGGATAATTTTGACCAGCTCTTATTGCATTGACATAATCATTTGAATTATCTGCAATTGAGGTTGCAGATTTTAAATTAGTTATTCTATTTGTTTGCATTCCGCAAGCAATATTTTGATCTTGAAGAGTTGTAGGCAATGCAGCAGCACCCGCAGAAGCCTTTACTTCTTTAATATTTTTAATTCCATCTCCATTAACATTTTTCTTAGAAAATTTATCAAAAATGTCAAAGTCAGTACGTTTATTAGGCACGGAATTTTTTATCCTCTCCTCAACCTGATATTTATTTAACAAACCACTATTGGATGAGTTTTGATTGAGCGTTTCAGCGATATACGAATTTCTTCGTAAATTACGAATGTCATCTAGCTTAGATTTATTAATTATCTGGTGTAAATATTTGGGATCATCAGTCAATGTATATTTAGGCTCGTCAATTAATGTGTACTTGTAAAAATTATTAGCAAATTGATCGTTACTGTCCGTAAGACTACTAGTGGTTTTTAAATCTCTGTCAGACATGTTTTCTTTGTAACAATCAAACGTTTCGGTCGGACATTCTAACGCGTTATCAGTATCGTAATTTTGTGATTGTTCGAAGTAACGATCGATATAACTAGTCGATATTCGTCGCGCCTCTTTACCGACATTTAGGTTTGGACTCGACAGACGCGAAGCTTTACCATTCATACCTTGGGTTGAATTACGTGAATTACCTAGTGCGATATTACTGTAATTAATTGAACCTTTGCTATTACTGTTACTAGCCTCGAGAAATTCTGTTGATTTAACTAGATTTTGTTTCATTGCTTTGTTATTCAACATATGATTGTCAAACGCCATGTCCATATAGGTGGTCCATGCATTTGATTTTGTTAAAAGTTCACGGGATTTAGCAAAACAAAATTCTGCTGAAGCTTTGTCCCACAATGGTAATTTTAGAGTCGAAGGTGCTCCAAGTGATTCTAAACTTGAAACGGTGGATGATAATGATTGCAAACTTGAACATAGCCACTTTAAAAGTAGTATTTTGTGAATGAAAATTAATGAATAATTTACAGAGATAATAAAAAATGTAGTGTTTAATTTAAAAGAAAATTATGTAATAAATTAGTTAAATGGTTCAAATAAATACATATGTAAAGAAAATATTTTTAGAAATAGGTAATTAAAATTAAAATATAATAATGGATGAGGATCGGGAAAAAGTGAAAAAAAATATAATTATTAGTCATTTTTTTTTCTAACTACCAAATGCTAGTATTTAAAAATATAAAATCTTTGCGACTTTATTTATATTTAAGTTATATTAATTAAAAAGTAGGATATGATTGATTTTCATTTAAATATTTTTATCAAATTTTAAGTGCTGACGAACAAAAGGGCATGTTTTAATAAAATAATATAAATTGGTAATAATAGTTATTTTTAATGCTAAAAGCATTGATTTTTGTTGTAAATCACGATCTTATAATGCAAAATAATAAAATAAAAGCACCTTTATTCGTTAGCTTTTGTATAGAAGTAAAATAGCAATATTATTTTCAAATTTTGATTGAAATAAAAAATGTTTCTTGGTTTGTTCAATATAAAATTTATACATTCTTTGAATTATGTTGAATAAACGAACATTAAGACTTATATTGAACATGAAAAACTTTATTATAATCAATCAATGATTGCAATAAATAAATCCGATTGTTTTTAAATACTCGGGCCAAACTAGCAAAATGAAATATGCAAATTTAAAAAGAAAATAAATTACGTACCTGGATGTCTGGTATACTAGCAGCTTCTTCAGCGAAATGTCGTCTATCAGGTTTAGGGCTGTGCTGATGTGGTAATTTAAAAGAAAACTTCCTTCGTCGCGATGGACTTGAAGTCGTTACAGGCGACTCTGGTGGATATTCAAGGTCTGTCATTGACCGAGCAGTTAACTCTTGCGCCATTGCTATCGCTGAATAAAGTGTTTTTTGATCAGCTGCTGATATTGGTTTTACCTGTGATAAATTAAAACGATTTAATATAAAATAATAATTGATCAATTTAACACTCTAGTTGTGAAAAATAAAAAACTTACCGTAGCCTGTTTCTTCTTGCTGCCTTGCTTTGATTGCATTTCACGAAGTTCATTCTTAACATTACTCGACTCATGTTCTGCAGATGTTGGATGCCCTTGTGGAGATGAAGGAGACGAAGTTCCTGTTATGAACATATCCGGTTATTTATATAATCGTATAATATTAATTGAGGTAATTTTTAATTCTACTTGCCTAATGATCGAAACATTTGATCCATTTCATCCAATAAACTTGGCCCAAAATCAAAATCAAGTGGCTTATCGAATCTCAATGCATTATCTTGATTCTCTTCATCACTTATTTCATGATACTCGTGATCGTTATTACCGGCATTATCAATATTCGTAGAAATAATAGATTGATCCTCATTTTTGTGACTCATGTCAACGTGTGTAAGTCCAGAAGCTGCGTCTGACCACATATTATCTGAAAAATAAATAAATGAATATTACTTTAAGAATATTAATCTATATTATTAAGAGAATAAGAAAAATTTTGTGTCCAGGATAGTCATATGACAAAATCGGTTTTTTTTTAGTGAAATTTAATGTCATTGCAAAGGTCTTGATTTGAATTTGTGTCTTTTTAAGGTTTCATATCATTCTCACCGATAGTCAATTTATTATGATAAATATTTAGGCTGCATTCGAAAATGTTCTATCTATCGATACATAATTAAGAAATGACCTTTTATCTTGTGAAATATTGACATTTTTAAAGAGATAAGCTCATCCTGACATTACACTCATCGAGACCTTTCATTTGAGTACCCACATCAATTTTTCATATATTTATATATATTACATATATGTATATATGAAAAATATATCAAAAATGCATGTGGGTACTCAAATGAAAACTCTTGATGAGTCTTATATCGGGATGAGCTTATATCTTTAAAATATATATTATATATATGTATATATGAAAAATATATCAAAAATGCATGTGGGTACTCAAATGAAAGCTCTTGATGAGTGTAACACCGGAATGAACTTATATCTTTAAAAACGTCAATATTTATGAAATTACAGTGCAATTTAACAAAAATCATTATTTAATAAAGCAAAATTTTATTTATTTATAGTTCACGAGTCACATAGTGACTGCAAGGTTGCTAGTATCAATAAAATTAGCAGATTGACATAATATAATTACCATTTTTAGTTTGCATATCGAATGACGCATGTTTATTATTATTGACATTTGCATTATCACGGTTACTATTATCATGATTATTTGAGTCTTGATAAAAAATTTGACTAGAATTAATAGCTGCATCTTCCTGTGGTTTATAGGGAGTTACAATTTGTCGTGGTAAATGAGGATATTTACCACCAAGAAAACTAATGTCTCCAAAATAAGCTCCGTCTAAGCCAACATGTCCAGTGTGCCGTAAATCGCCTTGCGGTGATGAAATCATATCAGTTCTTATTTTACGGCGATGAGATGAAAATGCATTTTTACCATCACCTCGTAAAAATTCACCGGGTTTATTGCTTGGTAAATTAGATCCTAAATAAGCAATTGTATGAGCTGGACTAAATAATCCAGTTTTACCATTACTCAGTACACCTTTCCACAGTACATTATTAACTCCTTTAGTGAGTACTGTGATAACGTCACCTTGGCGATACGTCAATTGTCCAATTTCATTATTATCTTGTACGGCTTGTACTTGTTCGGGTTTTAAATCCGGTAATAATTCAATGAGCTCAGAAAATTTAGGGCGCTTTGACGGTTCATGTTGCCAGCATTGTTGCATAAGTGTATAATATTCTTTGGGACAACAATCGGGTTGCTCGAGACGTTGAAAATTTGGTTCATCGATAGCTTCTAAAATTTGATGGCCTGTAAGGGCAGCCCACGGTTGGAATCCGTAACTAAACATTTCCCAAAGTGTTACACCGTAAGCCCAAACATCACTGGAAGACGTAAATTTTAAGTATGATATACATTCGGGTGCACACCAAGCTATCGGTAATTTTAAATTAACGTTGAAATTTGTCTGATAATAATCTTTGCCAACGCCTAACGCTCTCGACAACCCAAAATCAGATATTTTAACTTTATTTTTTGAAAAGACAAGAATATTTCTTGCCGCTAAATCACGATGAATCAGTCTTTTTGCTTCGAGATATTGCATACCATCAGCTATTTGAATAGCAAAATCACACAATGATATTACTGGAAAACTCACACGTAGACTAGGTTGCTTCAAGCATTCCAATAATGATCTCAGAGGTGCTAATTCTGTGACAAGCATCAGTGAATTTGTATCTAAGACAACACCGTACAATCTTACGATGTGTTCATGATCAATAGCGTGCATAATCGCAGCTTCTTTTAAAAATTCGATTGGATTATTTTGCATACGCTCACGCGATAAACATTTTATCGCAACTTGAATTCTTTCTCCGTCGTTACTCCACACGCCTTGTTGTACGATACCAAACTCACCGATCCCCAATTCTTTGTTGACAATAATAGCGTCTGCTGGTATCATGTGTTTATTTGGGACTTTTATTGGTGGCTTATCTTGTTTTTCAATAGATAGTACATTTATCGCTCCTGGAGGCGGCTCTTCACGCTTAGGTAGGAGCATTTTCTTGAATTTAGATAAATAATTTTGCGGGAAATGTCTTTGAAAGTATTTCTTCAAGCGACGCATCTCCGGCTTACTCATCCCAATAGCAATCAAATCTTCTTCTGTCACATATTTCAACTGTGCAGTCGATTGGACCTTTAGATCTCCTTAAAAAAAAATTTTATTTTTTTCAATTATTAATTTTAATAAGAATAAATTTATCTTCAGATTTCACTTTTTACATGACACTGAAATTATCGGACGTCTAAAAATTTTTGATTTTTTTTATTCATTAATTACAACTAAAAAAATATTTCTAAGAAATTACACGTATTATAGTTTTTCAAGTTTTTTACATGTGAAATTTTTTTTTAATTGTTTAATTGAAATTTTTTCAATAAAAAATTTCTAAAAATTTTGAAATGTCGGCTAACTTCATTTTCATCTTTTTACTTACCTTTAATACCTGTATAATACTGTTGCAGCTCAGCCTCCATGAGAAATTCATACAACCCTGGACCAGAGTTGCGATAAAGTCCTCCTTGTGATTCTGAAGTCATTGAAAATAGATTTATAAATATTGATAAAAAATTCTCAACATGTAAAAAGTAAATAAATAAAATGAAAAAATAACATTTTTTGTCGTGATTTATCTACAAGTTATTTAAAAAAAAAAAAAAATATTCTACATGTAGAATAAATTCTTAAAGAATATTTATTTTTAGTATCTACTTTGTATGTATATGCTTTTTGAATTCCAAGTAACTATTTTAGTAGAACAATTTCACTTCGACATTCTCTATTCATGACGTCTCTACTTAATAATGAACGCTCGAATTTTTTAAAATCACCATCACCTTAAAATATTTTACAATAATTATTCCGTTATTTACATTCATCCGTTGGCAAACTAAATAGAAATTACAAAAATACAATTAAATAAAATAATTACAGTTATTACTATGTTGCTCCATAATTTTTTACAACAAAAAGTTGAAATATTTTATGAGTCAATTTCCTAGAAGTAAATAAAAAATTATTTCTTCATCATAAGTATTAAAAAAAAAATGCTAATGCGACAAAAATTTCATTCCTTATTGATCAGCAAATAATTACTTTCAAGACCTCATACACAGGCATCCGACGTGATTCATTCACCATACAATGCATATATGTACCCACTCAATATTACTGTTCTACATATAAGTACGTGAGAAACTATGAAAATCTATTAAAAAACAGCTCCTTATATTTTTGGACCCGACCGGTACTGGAATGAGGTGACGGAGTCTATGAATATTTTTCCAAAAAAGAAAATGTTATATTCTCATAATATTTAAATTAATTACCTGTTAAAGTAAAAAATAATAAAAGTATATTTGTTTAAAAATAAATAAAAAAAATGTATAACTTACCCATTGTAAAATGAAGAATGCCTCAGAAATTTTTGTATTATAAAATCAAGAGTAGTTGATAAATTATTAAGCAAATATTTGTAAAAAATAATTTGCAATTATTTGGTAATTGTATTTAATCATTATTTTAAAAAAGTCAATGTCATGGATGTAATGTTATGGATACGACGTGCGTAAATAATTTTTATCACCAGAATTACACAGTTATTGTTATCTTATGACTCTTATTATCAATTAACAAATTAATTATTAGTATAAATATACAAAAATGGATTATAAAACCTAGTAATTATAACTATAACTATCAAATATATTTATTATTTTAATCATTAACTATCTTCTATTCACCGTCCACTTTCACCCCAGCCTCCGACTCCGACCAATATCGCTTTTACATATACATGTCCTATGTATATTCTGATACTTTATGTGCATATATGAGATTTCACGGACTGTGTGTGACGCACAGTGCTTACAACTACATACTCATTGCTTATGACTCTTTTCAACGGTCGTGACTAGAACGACTAATATTATTTACTAATTTCTCTCAGACCCCGGTTGAATAAAAATTTTTCATTGGTTTAAAATTCGCTTTTATTTTCCGATTGGGCAGTTTATAAAGATCCAACAGAAAGTACGAATTAAAAAATGGTATTCTGTTTTATTTACCAATGACAGATTTAGTTTTGTAATTGGTACCACTGAGTTCAGTATCAGGACAATAAGCCAATACATGAATTTTGACGACTAAAAAAAAATAAAATAATGAAAAGTCGGAGGCCTTAACTCCGATTTTGAGTTAAGGTGCTTAAAAACATCTGATCAACATATTTTTTTTTCTTAAGTGTTCATAAATTGCATTTTATATTCCTGTCAAAATTATGTTTATTTTAATACTTTAATTGAGTAATTAAAAAATAATGTTGATGAATATGGCAGTACCACTTCGTTTAGGTCACTCAAAATTGTTCAAGTCTGGACTTATTAGTGGATTATGTAAGGTTAGTAATAATTATTTTATTATTTTTTGTATTATATACCTTATAATTATTTATCTTATATCTGCTATTTGTAAATGTCATTTAAATTTTTATTATTCATTGTTATTCAAGTCTTTTATATGTAAATATTTTCAATTATTGGTGATATTTATGTTTGTTCATTTATTGACTAATTTTACTATTTTTTTCTATAATTTAGGATTATATAGTGCTAAATTTCTATTTATATATTTAAAATTTAATTATGAAATTTTTTTATTTTCAGAAATTATTGATACAAAAATGACAATTTTTAACCTCTGAATCAACATACATTGAAGATTATTTTTTTAATAGTTATTTATTAATTAAGATTTATATTCTCATCCATGATGTTAAATATAATAATATAATTATCAGGAACTTGGACAGAAAAAAATTAAAAGTGCTAAATTTTTAAATACTGCAACGTTTGTAAGAATGTTAGAACAAATGTAAGATTTTTAATGTTATTTTTGTTAATTTGGTTGTATTGTTCAACAAAATTTTGTTTTTATTTATACAGTTTGCCTGAAGTATTACAGTATTTTAAAATTTAAGGTAAAAGATCCAGTTATTGACACTTGCAATTTTATTTTAATTAAATAAAACAAATCGACTCTAATAAATTAAACTTGCAATTTTATTCTAATTAAAAAAATAAAATTTTCTCAAAAAATATTTATTAATTTATTAGAGTCGATTTGTTTTATTTAATTAAAATAAAATTGCAAGTGTCAATAACTGGATCTTTTACCTTAAATTTTAAAATACTGTAATACTTCAGGCAAACTGTATAAATAAAAACAAAATTTTGTTGAACAATACAACCAAATTAACAAAAATAACATTAAAAATCTTACATTTGTTCTAACATTCTTACAAACGTTGCAGTATTTAAAAATTTAGCACTTGAATTTTTTTTCTGTCCAAGTTCCTGATAATTATACTATTATTTATTAATTACCACCGTTTAAATTATTCTAATAGATCTAATGGCTTTTAATCATGATTAAATTATAAACTTTAATTGAAAATCAAAACAAAGTATTTAAAGTACACAATTTTATCCAGTAAATAACATAATAATTATTTTATTTTTTAGTTAAGTCAACAAAAAAATGTGGCAAAAACACAAGTCGCATTTATCACTGGGAAAGTTATGCGACAAGACCGACCACCTCGTCCAGCGCCTTACGACTACATGAACAAAGATTATTCATTTTGGGATGTATTTTTCGATCCTATGGAAGAGAGATTTGATGATAATACTAAAATAGTTGTTGTTGAGGGACTACCGGGTGTAGGAAAAGATAAATTTGCGCGACAACTTGCTGAAGAACTAGAAATGTGTTACATGCCCCCATACAGCTGGGATGAATTTTTAATCACTCCATATGGATTTGATATGAGAAATCTCAATCCGAAGCTACCGATTGACGCGCAGTACTTTGATTTAAATATGTTCCTGAAGGATCCAAAGGGCCGAAACAGCGCATCTATACAGCATGGATATTATATGATGAAATACCGTCAATATATCAGGGCGTTGCAGCATCTGTTTTCAACAGGGGAAGGTGTTATTTTGCAGCGTTGTCCATGGTCTGACATGGTCTTCGCCAATGCAATGTTCCAGAGTGGATATATATCTAGAGGTGGTCTCACTTACTACAATAGTGTGAGAATCAACAGCCTTTACCATCTTTACAGACCACATTTAGTTATATACTTGGACGCACAGATTCAAACGATAAAGGTAATTTATTTAAGAATAAATTAAACTAAAATAAATTCACCAATTTAACATTAAAAATTATTTTTATAGAATCGTATTCAAAGAAATGGAACACCGGAAGAGAAAAGCACGAAAGCATTCACTACTAAATATCTGAGTGACATTGATAAATTTTACAAAGAAAAATATATACCAAGTATTTCAAGGCATGCCCATGTGTTGTTTTATGACTGGACTGAAGAAGGCGACATGCCAACAATTGTTGATGAAATTCAACAATTGGATTTCGATAATTTTGATAGAGAAACTGAAAAAATGGATGATTGGAAATTTACAACTTTAGATGCACAACGGGCAGCGAGAGATGTCTTTTGTAACCAAGCTGAGGCATTGACTCACTCAACACTTGTCATGCGTTATGATATTCCAGACGTGATTGTATCAGGACAGGATCTCGAAAAACACCATCTTGTATTAAAGAAACATCAAGATACTGTCAGTATTGATTTGATATTTGTTTTTCTTTTATACTCTTAAATAACATGATGTGTAATACTAAACCAATTAAATTTTTTCTTTCAGGAAGGAGGTATTCAATACGCACCAGGATACGATCCAGAACTCGACAAAGGTGTTTTGTTTAAAACTAAAGAAGAATATAAAATCAGATAAACTAACACAGATTTATTTATATGAAGTGGTAAAGCTGAAACTGTTTATATAGTCTTCTCTCGATATTATTTAGTCATTATGGCTTAGTTGTGAAATAATTCATTGTAAAATTCATTAAACCATTCGAGAGAATAAATCTTTTTTTTTAATTAAATTCACCTCTTTATAGTCTTACTATTTAAGTAAATCAATATGAAGTAATCTATATTTTCAAAAAACTTTAGGTAAGATAATTTTCACCTTTAATTAAAAAAACATTTTCCAATTTATAGTCTTGGTTAAGTATAAAAATAATAAATCTTCATAATAACAATGAAACAATTATTTATTCTCACCATTATTTTTTACATTCAACAGCGATCAATTCAATGGCATTTAATTTATACTGTCAAAATAATTTTTTTAAAAATATCTCACGGTCATAAAAAATAAAGAATTATCAACTGTTTATAAAAAGTTCAGTGCATCTAAATTAATTATTAGTCCCAGTAAATTAAATCACTCTAAGCTATTTAATTGCTACTAGAAAAAAAGCACCTGACTTAAAATTATTCTCATCGACAATACATTAAAAATTATATAAAAACTGGAAATTTTTTCTAGGTATTCATAATTAATTTTCTGAATAAAACTTTTGTATTTTCTTTTACAAATGAAGAGATCAATTATTTTACAAAATTTAAAGTTTCAGTAATAATTAAACTAATTAAAATTTCTCTCAGTGTATAAATAGATCGAAATTTTTTTTCAACACTGACATTTTATTTAAAACATAATTCATAATAAATATAAAAAAAAATAATTTTCTTTGTTTCATTATCAACTTAATGAATAATAAAAGCTTAAAATTAATTCGCATATAAGAATATTATTTTACAGAGAATCTTCTTACAAATATACTGAAGATTAACTTATAATGGAATTATTTTGACAGCGTAAAAAAAAAATTTTTTTTTTTTATATATATATATATGTATATAATGATATTTATATATAATATAATTTATGTAAACGTCTTTATTGTACATTTGTTAGGTATATACCATGAATATATGATATTTTAAGCTGTCAAACTGCAACAAGAATTAGTTTTACGTGCAGTTTTATAAAATGCTTTAGATTGTATACTCAGACCTTCTGATTTTTGAACTAAATCATCCAATTTTTCACCTCTTTGTAATACTGCTTCTAAAGTGCTGTGCTGAAAATTATAAAAGAAAATTATTAATTACTAAGTAAACAACAATTGACTTATTAAAAATGATACTGAAGTTACCCGACGTTTCTAATTTTTTTATTTTTTTCCATTAATTAAATTGGAACAAAAAAATATTTTTAAAAAATTGCACTTAAAGTTTTTCAAGTTTTTTATGAATGAAATTTTTTTCTTATTTTTTTTTATAATAATTTAAAAAAAAGAAAAAATTTTTAAAATTATTAAATGTCGGCTAACTTAATTTTCATTATCAAAAATTATTTTAATAACATACAAGTATAATTTTAGTTTCGTCCAGATCATTTTGCATTTTAGTCAATGAGTCAGCTTCCCGAGGATTTTGATACTTAGCAAGATAAACATTAGCTTGTGGAAAATCACAAGTCGGTTCATTCAATGTTGGCCATGAATTAGAAGGATACTTTGCTGCAAATTCATCTAATACTTTGGTAATAAGTGTATGTGACACTCTGTTCGGATATTCATGATCCGAAATTAAAACGCCAGCTAAACTGTCACCTCTTACGTAAACATGACACATATATTCTGTAAATGATAATTTTTTATTAAATAATTTTGTTAACTAATTTAATCTCAATCAATTTATACTTGATAAATATTAAAAATGGATAAATTTAATAATACATTTAAGTAACAATGGATTTATTGAGATGAAAAATTTTCAGCTCCAATAAATATATAACTTTTATAACAAGTGAATGATTTTCAATTGATAAGTTTATTGAATAATGTAAAATCCTTGATATACTTTAATACCTTTGAATAACCCTAAACCTTCAGTTAAGTATAATCAATAATTTACATTTATACATTACAAAATTGTTTGATGTTATCAAATTCAAAAATAATAGAAATATTTTTTAATAGAAAAAAAATTCTGTAAATTGTTTCAGTGAATTAATGTTGTACAAACTTCAATCAATAATAATGTACATTATAGAAAATTTGTATTTATTAGAAAGTGAAAATATTTATAATTTTTTTAAAAAAAGCAAAACATGAATTTTTAAACACTTAAAATATTTATTTATTAATAAAAAAAAAAAATTACCTCCTTCTTTAACACTTTGTCGTGATGCAATTTGAGTTCTCTCAGTTATTGTCTTACTCACAAATCCCATAAATTCTTTGACACTTCCACGTTGAAAATAGGAAAATGAATCAACGTCATAAACAGATTTTAAAGCTGTCGCTGATGTTGGACCTTTGTACAGTATTGTTAGAGCATATAATTTAACCATTTTTATCTAAAAAAAAAATTTATTTACATATATGAGTTAATAATAAATAAACACAGTTAAAAATATTTTATATATAAATATAAATTCAATAAGTAGTACTTTTAACTAACAATGTGTCAAAAATTTCATATGGATTTTCTAATAACTATGTTATTAAATTCTATAAACAATTGACAGTAAAAAACGTCAAAATAGTATTTATATAGGTTATTATAACACAACTGTCGACCAAACCCTAATTTCTACTAATGCGAAACCAATTGGCCATTAACAAAGACAATAACTGTCTTCAATTCATCAACTATAAAATATTGTTAACAAAAAAACTAATATGATGAGATTTGTCACTACTTGTCTTTTCTGTTTAAAAGAAAAAAAAAATTATGACGTGTACAGTTGATAAGAAAATTACGAATTTTCTTCCGTATCGGTAGTAAATTCAAATATTTTCTTACTTATTATTCACGTGCTTAAGTGCTTAATATTGTTTAATTTTTTCTCGATGACAATCATCGCAAGTTGCAATAATTTAATATAACAATTTGATAAAACAACTGTCAAATATGATTTCAGCGAGAAATGTTCATTTAATATTCCGTAGATTACAAATCAATACAATTGGAAGGCATTGTAAATTCAGTTCAGCGCATTTACAAGGTAATGGTATTTATTTTTAATTATCATAGGTTAAATTTTTATTTACTTATTTTTTGAGATTTTATTTTAAACAATACACTGAACCCTACAGCAAAGCCATTAAGTGAGTTCCATTAGAAAAAAAAAAAAAATAACAGTTACATTATATTTAATAATAATACTTATAAGTAATTGTAATAGTAATAAGTCTGTATTTAATCTAAGAAGTAAGTATATAAAATGCTCTGGCTCAGTCTTAATTTTATAAACATAGTCTCGAAAAACAATCAACATTATTTATCTGATAGACATCAAGGCTGTTATTAATTTTGTAGAAAATGACACTGAAGTTAGCAGACGTCTAAAAATTTTTGATTTCTTTTATTATTAATTAAATTACAACTAAAAAGATATTTCTAAAAAATTGTACTTATAGTTTTTCAAGTTTTTTACATGTGAAATTTTTTTTTTTTATTTTTTAATTGAAATTTTTTCAACAAAAAATTTCTAAAAATTTTGAATGTCGGCTAACTTCATTTTCATTGTAGAAATTGTTTAAGGCATTCATTAATTGATATAGAGAGATTAAAAGAAAATTCATCATTATAATGATTCTATACACCGCAGATATTAAACTCGGAGAAATTCGAGTACCTACGAGACTTCTTTACTAAAGAGATTGATGTTCGACGCTCTGATAGATTGGCTACAAAAAAATACCTCTTTCAAACTACCCCACTTTACTTTTACTTAGAAATCCTTTGTGGTGACAGTAATAAGACTTTGGGAAGAATTACCTGCTGAAATTTTTACTTCTTCTAGCTTACAAATTTTTAAAAATCAAGTCTATAATTATCTATTGAATCTTGATAAATGAAAAGTATAATTCTCAGATTCATGAATCTGAGATAGTGATTGGAACTCATTGAAATAAATTGTACTATTAGCTTCAAATTAATCATCTGATAAATTGGTATCTTCTACTATTGTAAATCAAATGTTTATTATTTTAAGTAGTCACGATTGTATTTATTTACTCTTCTTAATCTTATTTACTAACTATTGAAATTGAGCCTTGGCATTAATTAATAAACCAAATTCTAAACTATTTTTCTATCAATTATTTTGTAGAAGAACAACGTGACCCAGGACCAGTATTTATAAATGATGAAGTACAAAAACTACTCAAAACACTTACAAGACCAGATTTACAAAAGGTTTACCGTAAACGTAAAGACGGTCAACCTATAAAAGATCCTCAGTATAAATTTATGACTGATGAAGAGCTTCAAGATCTAATGAAGAAAGTACAAGCTAGAGTTGATGAAAAATTACAAATGCCACCGGTGGTAAAAAAACGTAAGCCAATAACAGAAGTTATATCAAAAGATCCCGAAATCCAAGGGCATGATACGACTAAGTACGTTTTTACTGATATTACTTATGGAGTGAGCGCTGTTGATAGATTAATAGCCGTCAGAGATCCTGATGGTACTTTGAGAAAAGCTAATTGGGAGGAAAGGTTTCGTATGAATCAAACTTACTTTCCTGTTAAAGGACGTGAATTGGTTACACCTAGAATGTTTCAAGATGAATATTTAAAAGTAATTTACTTATTTATTTTATTACTTAACACAAAATACTTGATGATTAATACTTTATTGATTAATTTCAGGATTTATTGAAAAGAGAAGAGTACGAATTTGTCCTAGACCGTGCGTGCTTGCAATTTGATCCAGATGATCCTGATTTTCATCGAGTTACATCTGCTGTTTATGAAGCAGTTAACAATACAAGTCAATTTAAAGTATTCCGATCAACGAGACACTATGGGCCGTTAGTGTTTTATTTAACCTGGAATAAAAACATTAATAATTTGTTACTCGAATATATAACAAATGGCTTTATCGAAGATGCTGTGCTGCTGATAAAATTGTACAATAAAATAAATCCGACTTCTAAGGCAGTGGATATTACCCACGACGGAGATGATCTTAAGTTCATTCAAAATTTCGCTGATTTAGAATCACCTATTAGAGGTAAATTGATAGCTGCTGTTCAATCATATAAAGAATTAGCAGAAGCACGGAAGAAAGTTGAAAAAGGTGTAAAAGCAGCACATGGTATTGATGAATAATGTATATAATTTTATGAATAAATTTTTTATAAGTTATCTTTAGTTACTTTTTGTAATAATTACTTGATATATTGCATTATTTGTTATCAGATCCTTTACTAATATAATAATAATTGTTGTAATTTTCAACTGGACTCAAGCAGTTTCAATCTATTAAAATATTTATTGACAAGTGATTTTAAAGTCAGTTGAAATTTATTAAAGACACGTATTAGTTATGTAAATTAACGAAATCAGATTTAAACAGATTTATTTCAAATTAAATTTTTTCACTTGAACATTATCTTATATCGACAATATTTTAACTAAAACATTAGTTTGTCGACTGACTTGATGCAAATTGATCTGTGAATAATTCGCAAATTGATAATTTTAACTTCCTAATTTATGATACTAAAGTTAGCAGATATTTTTAATTTTTTGGTTTTGTTTCATTTATTAAATTAAAACTAAAAAATATTTTAAAAGTGCACTTCAAAAAATTTTCAAATGTCTGCTGATTTCTGTATCATGCTAATTTACTCTCTTCTTTTCAAATATTTGATTCATTTTCATAATTTTCATTAAATTTACCACAAATTTTAATTTCGCGACATATAGGCGCGCTTTAATTTCAACCAATGAGGATTAAAAGACAATTAATTCAACCAATGAGAATTAAAAGACAAATTTTTATTCCATAATTCGGTACTATCGATCACGAAACTTAGACAGTGCTCGTAGCGCCTCTACCACGTGCTCTTTACAGAGAGAGAGAGAGAGAGAGTGAGGATGCACATCGAGCCCTCCCCTCCCAAAAATATTAATTCCAAAACTTTGGACACTAGATGTCGTCAGCCATTTTGCATTTAATTTCATTTTTGCATTTAGTTGTGATAGATTGTGTTTTTGTTTATTTTCTGATTGCATGAAATAATTAGAGAATTTATTTAATTAATTATGAATTCTAAAGAAAAAGAAAAGTATATTGAAGAATTTGATTTTCCTCATTGTGACGAATCCGTAAAATATGAGAAAGTTGCTAAAATTGGTCAGGGTACCTTTGGGTACGTAAAAATAACCTTTTAAATAAAGAAAATATTTTTTTTCTAGGTTAAAAAATAAAAAAAAACTCCTTTACAATTAATTAAATTTCACCTATTTATTCTAAATAGGTCTATAAATTATTATTTTTTTTTAATTGTCCAGGGAGGTGTTCAAAGCAAGGGACAAAAAGAATAGTAAGAAATTTGTTGCCATGAAAAAAGTTCTGATGGATAATGAAAAAGAAGGGGTAAATATATTTGTTTTGTTATTTTTTTTATTTGGTATTGATGATAATCCTATTAATATTTTTTTGTTGAAATTGTCACTAGAACTTAATAATTAAAATGATTATTTTATATGAATTCTTTCAGTTCCCCATCACTGCCTTAAGAGAAATTAGAATACTCCAATTGCTCAAGCATGAAAACGTAGTTAATTTAATTGAAATTTGTCGAACAAAAGCTACTCAATATAATCGTTATCGTTCTACATTTTACCTCGTTTTTGATTTCTGCGAACATGATCTGGCTGGTTTACTTTCTAATGTCAATGTAAAATTTAGTTTAGGCGAAATTAAAAAAGTAATGCAACAATTGTTAAATGGTCTATATTACATTCACAGTAATAAGGTAATTATTTTCATCTTGTTCATTTTATGGTTATGATTTTTAATGAAATTCATTGTAATGATTAATGGCTGCGATTATTTTGAATAGATCCTACACCGAGACATGAAAGCAGCAAATGTTCTCATAACCAAAAATGGTATTTTAAAACTAGCTGATTTTGGGTTAGCGAGAGCGTTTAGTGTAAGTAAACCTGGACAAGCAAATCGCTATACTAACCGTGTAGTAACACTGTGGTATCGGCCGCCAGAGTTACTGCTAGGAGATCGAAACTATGGGCCTCCCGTTGATTTGTGGGGTGCAGGCTGCATAATGGCTGAAATGTGGACGAGGTATGTACTTACTTTTGATTGAAAAATAAATTTTAATGTACATTTAATTGCCAGTCTAATTTTTATTGTTATTAAAAAAGTTAGCAGTCACTTGACAATTTTTTATTTTTGTTAATTTCTAGATGTCAATTTTTTTTTCTAATTTTTTTTGACGCAATTTATTTGCTATAAAATTTTAAAAATTATTAAATATATGCTAAATTAATTTTCATAAAAAAGTTGGAGAAAAATTTGTATATATTGATATTATTCGTTTAAAATTAAAAAAATCATAAATGTATTATTGATTTGTATTGATAAAACTCCTGTAATTTATTTTTCAGATCTCCTATCATGCAAGGTAACACTGAACAACAACAATTAACATTGATATCGCAACTATGCGGATCAATTACCACAGAAGTTTGGCCCGGAGTTGAAAGTCTAGATTTATTTAACAAAATGGATCTACCCAAAGGACAAAAAAGAAAAGTAAGTGGATCTAATAATTGAATCCCGGAAAAAATAGACCCGAAATAATTTTAAAGTTATGAAAAATTCATATTATTTCATTAAAATTATTATAAAATAATAATATTTTTTTTTTTTTGTAACAAAAAATGGAGCGATCATTCTGGGGGTGCTTGTTTTTCAGGAAAATTGTGGATGTGATATAATTATTATTATTATTATAATTTTTATTGTATAATAATTTTAATGAAATAATATGAATTTTTCATAACTTTAAAATTTTTTCCAGGTCTATTTTTTCCAATTACCCTAATAATTCCATCGAACAATTCAAAACTCCAAATCAAAATTAATACGTACCTTAAAATTTTTAACTCATACTTATATTAAAAATAAAAATTTTATTTCAGGTAAAAGAACGACTAAAGCCATATGTCAAAGATGCGTATGCATGTGATTTACTGGACAAACTTTTAATTCTTGATCCAAGTAAAAGATACGACTCTGATTCAGCGTTGAACCATGACTTTTTCTGGACCGACCCTATGCCTTCTGACTTGAGCAAAATGTTGGCTCAACACACACAAAGTATGTTTGAATTCTTGGCACCTCCACGAAGACCAGGACATATGCGACATCCTCATCATCCAGCACCTGCTGGTCCAACCAGACCTACTACCAGTGTAACCGACAGTGGCTATCAAGATCGTGTTTTCTAAAGTATATTACATATATCATAATGTTATTTATAATGCAATATTTTAGTAACGAGTAAATTTAAGGTTTAAAAAAAATTAAATTGTTGATCAATATATTTTAGCTTACATTCTTTTGATAGCAATACATATTTTGTATTAATAATTGTATGTCAACCATACATTCTAAATGACTGAGAACATATGTAGGGAAAAATAAGTTTTTTTTATAAAAAAATCATATTAACTTTCTTATTTTTCTGCTATAAGAAATTTTTAAGCAATGTAAAGATATTTAATTTTTTTTATTCAATGACAACTCACTATAGTTAATTTAAGTCATAGGATTAATATAACTAATTATTAATAAAATAAAAAATAACTGGATTAAATTATTATTTTTTTTTTAGTACACAAAAAGTTTCTTCTATAAGCTTGCACTTTGTTTAGCACCGTTTCATGTACACAACAACCAGTTTTAATACTCATCGCTTCATATAAGTAAATTTACATATATATTTAGAGAGAGAAAGAGAGAGAGAGAAAAATAATGATTTTATAAAATAATAAAACATTTTTATATATTTAAGTTACAACGATTTATGTATCAATTATTTAACTATTTTTTATAAGAGTAAAAAAATTTGTTTTTAAATTACAAACAAGGTAAAAAAAATTATAAGTAATTAAAATTAGTATAAAATAGTTTTACTAATTTATAAAATCATACATGTATCTATATATAATCCTTGAAATCACTAGTTTTTAGTATAAGATCAATAGAAGTTATAAAAATTCGTATCACATATGACACTTAATCATCCGCATTGAGAAATTGATCAAGTGGATTCGGACCTAATCTCCGAGGCTTCAATGTTGAAGTATTTGTCGAACTTTCAACTGAAAAAAATTCATAAATTACATTTATATTAATTTATTGTATTATATACACTGAGAAAAAAAGTACTACTTTTCAGAAAATTTTTTTGTCACAAGAATATAAGGGGAAAAAAAAATTTTTTTTTTATTTTAGAAAATTTGACAATTTTTTTTTCTATTAAATAAAAAAAATCGGCCCTGTCCAGGATGAGCGGGAATAGTTGTCAAATTGATTCAAGTTTTTTTTGAGAAAAAAAAATAAAAAAAAAAAAAAAGTGACCAACTTTGAAAAAATAACGATTTTGCTGAAAAAAAAAAAAAAAAAAAAAACGGATTATTTTGTAGAATTGATCATATTTAATTTTTTTTGTGTATTTTTTCGAAAAGTTCATTCAAAAACAAAAATTTAAAAAAAAAAAAAAAGGTACCCAATGTCTAAAAAAGTTATGGCTATTTGAAAATAAAAAAGCCATTTTTTTGGGAAATTTATAACTTTTTTTGGGTTGGATGAAAAAATTAAAAAAAATTTTCAAAAATGTCTTTCAAAGAGTAGAAAAGAATAAAAGAGTTTCAGCTAAATCTAAAGGGGTCGGGTTCAAAATTGGTCGATTTGGCATGGAATACCCCATATATTCTTGATAATTTTCAAGAATATATTTTCTTATTTCAAGAATTGATCGAATTAATCGAATTATTTTTTGTTTAATTTAAGTGAACCTATACGTTTGTTAATCTATCAAAATTAATGCCAATATTTTATTATCATGATTCATGATAGATATTAATATTCTTTTGTCAAAAAACCAAAATTTATTTTAAACGATTCTTAGACCAAGAATTTTTTTCTGGACAAAAATTTTTTTTTTCTCAGTGTACATTAAAAGAATCTAAATCTAATTACCTGGATTTGGTTGTTGAGCATGCAAACAACTAAGCCACTCGGTCATACTGATCCTTCGATCATTATTTATGTCGCAATATCTCGGTAATTTTTTTCCGCATCTCCGTAAATGCCGATTGCTCGCAACCATAGTACGGAAGCTCTTCCATTCTTTTCTTTCAAGTACTTTATTTTTATTCTTATCAAGCATAACAAAGTGCCAAGTAGCTATCCTCTCTTCTTGAGACGCTGGCCACTTGTCTGTTGCCTCAACCGAGTCTGCGCTGGATGTTTTCATTTTTTTGTCCATCAGATCAATCAAGTCTCTGAGAAATTGTTTCTTTTTTTCATCTGGGCATCCTATTTCATTAATTTTAAATTAAATTTCAATGAATAACTTTAATACCACTTAATAAAACAGTTTTATTTATTAAAAATTAAATAATTAACTACCTTTCATTGGTCTGTTTGGTGGAGGTGCTGGGTGACAATTAGGAGTTGGTTCTTTTGATGAAGTTCCTGGAATCGGTTTTCCTGTATCCTGGTCCACACAGAAGCAATAACTTGAGTAACATTGAACCTTCAGGTACCTTCCATCCGGTGTGCACTCTGGTACGTAGAACGATTGGCTGCTGTGTTTTGAGTCTTCTAGTGCTGATTTTCTATCCGTAATACAGTCAATAGCTAAAAAAAATTTTAATCTGAAAAACAAACTACCCAACTTTAACTTTAATAATTAATGATATATTTTTATACCATCACTTTCTTCTTTTGTCGTAGAGTCGTCATTAAATGTCGGCCGGGTATGAACTGGCGATGGATTTTCCTTCAAAACTGGGAATAAAAATAACAAAATATATATTTATCATTCACAAATAAATATTAAATAATAAATAAGATAAAAGACAATAAAAAGTATTAGTCACTGCAAAATTGAAATTTATAAAACCATATATATTCATGCTATTAGAAGAAAATACACTGAAAAAAAAATTAACGATTCAAGAGAAAAATTCTTGAACCAAGAATATAATTTTAAAGAGGGTAATTGTCTTGAATCAAGACGAAAAATTCTTGAATAAAGTAAAATTTTCTTAAATCAAGAATATTAAGTTCTTCAAAATTATAAACTTGATTAAAAAAAATTTTTTTTTCTGTGTACTGACAAGATTTTGAATTGAGAAAAAAATAAATTAATAGCCAATCACATATCCATGATTATCAACATGCTTTCTTGGAGATAAACAATAATCCTAAATAATTTGACCAATAAAATGCTTGAAGCCTAACATGAGCTAGATGAAGAAATTTAAACTAAAAAAAAAAAATATTTCATCTGATAAAATAATTAAGCCAAATACAGAGATGGTGGGCAATAACTGTTCGGGGATCGAATTTCATGGCAAAAGGACTCACCTTGGTCCAAGGCCCGAGTCTTCAGGGCTTCAGAGACCTCACGCCGTCCTTCTGCGCCATTGAGTGACAAGAACAAAAGTACTAAATGATAATAAATCTATGTATACGTTAGTTAGCGAGTTACAATAAATGTCTAACTTGAGATTGAGGAATCAGAAATCAAATTTATCAATATTTAGTCCGTATACTTTTTTTCGGGTGAATTTACGTTTACCTTAAACGATATTAAAAATTAAAATTATTTATAATTTTTATCATCATTATTGTGATCTTCATTATCAGGAAGCTAAATAAAAGAAAATAAAGTAGATGAAAGACGATATTAACAGATTACTGCAGACATATGATAATATTAGCAAACATAATAACTTCCGGACGTGGGAAGGGATGATTTACGAATGGCATAACTAATCCGAGCAATCATACATAAACTTTTGTCAGCTACCACCACGGCTAACTTCTTTATCCTCAATTACCTTAATTTCTTTGCTATGTGACTGCGTGTGGGCACAAACTTCCGGTTGGATTTACAAGTGTGACCGGAGTTCAAACTGTCTGTCAACAACATCCTGCTTTTATTCGTTTCCCTGACTCATTATATATCAATTGTTATTATATTTTTAAACTTCATTTAAACATTTGCTCTTCAACTTCAATTATTTCTTAACTTCATTTTTATTAAACTACTATTTACCCGTACTCGTGTAAAAAAAACCTTTAATCCTTCCGGCAAGTCTATACTAGCTTTCATTAAATAGTCATATAATTTAATAGACAAAAGAAGAAATCATCATTAAGTCAAAAGTCGGATGAATTGAATGTTTTTTACACGAGTATGTAAGAAGATAATTATTCCGGATGGCAATATGCTAAATTATAAAATAAATTAACTATCTAATCCATGAAACTTAAAAAATATATTTAGTTATGAAGGATAAGATGAGTAGAACCAAGAGCCACCAGTATTATGTAAAAAAACACACTGTTAGAAAAATATTAAATAATATATATATATATCGCATCAGACTTACGTGTAAAGTCATTGGCTAGACAAGTACTCCACTCTTGTCTAGACAACTTGAGATCATGATTGAGATCACAATTTTTAGCAAAAGTTCTCGCACATTTCTTCGGGCGTATTGCTTTCTTAGCAAGTTTTCTTAGCTCTTTATACTCAGCGCGGTCTAGATATCCATCCTCGTCTTTATCCAAGCTCGTAAACTTCCAGGTAAGTATACGCTCGACATTTTTATCACCTGTGAATCAATTATCCAGTTATTTTCAGAGTTATTTATTTGAACTTTAAAGTGGTATTAATCTATAAATATACATACACAAACAACTTAACTATTTTTTTTTACAATTATTTGTATGATCTTTTTTTTATTTACAATTAATTACATTAAAGTTAGCAGTCGCTTAACAATTTTTTAACTTTATTTATCAAAAAAATTATTTTTAAAAAATTGCATTTTTTATTTTTTTTTATTTCTACATGTCAATTTTTTTTTTCCAATTTTTTTTTGCCATAATTTATTTGCTATAAAATTTAAAAAATTATTTAATATATGCTAAATTAATTTTCATTTACAATTATAAAAGTCATCAATAAATATATGTAATGTTAATGAAATATTAATGGTTAAAATTAAGGCAAGAGAAATGAAGAAATTGATAAAAATAAAAATATAATACGCGGTAAGTATGTTGACTCGAACCAGAAACCTGTAATCAGATGCATTTCAAACCCGACAATAATCACTTTAATTACATCGCCGTGACAACCAGCAATTACTCCTCTTTAAGATTTTACTTTTTTTTTAAGCTTTTAATTCGCTTCTTTACTGCCTAGCGATGCCCAATACTCTTTTTTTAAGAACCTTTTCCATTTTTTTTTATTTATTTCAGTTTGCTTTCAATAACTAGTAACATGCAAACTTCTAAGAAAAGGCTACTCAGTGATAAAGGACCTGTTCCATGAAACACGTAAGCTGTCCTTGGCATATTTCGCAGGATTTAAAAAAGCACTTTTATCTTTACTTTAATTTGGAGACCATATAATATTATATATAGTATATTGAAACAAAAAATTACTCATAGAAATAAAATTGATTTAAAAAATAGTATAATATATAATCGAATTTTATCAATTTAAAAAAATTTTCTTTGTTCGATAAATTAATAAATGAAATTTAAAAAAAAAAAAAACTAAAAATATGCAATTGTAGAAAATTTTTAATACTATAAGAGCAATTTTTCAATTTTTTGGTTTGTAATTTTTTTAAAAAGGCCAAACTAATATCAAAATTCTGTCTATGTTTTTGATTTAAGATATCTAAATTTTTTCAAAGTAAAAAAATCAAAAGTTATTGATTGATTTAAAAAAATATAAAATTATTAAGTTTTAAATTTATATCAAATTTCTTGAATTAAAAAATTATTTTGAAAACTTTTACAAATTTGTAACAAAAATGTATTTTTCAAAAAAACTTCCAATATCACATTTATTATCAATAATATTTAATTATAAATTTAAAAAAAAATTTTTGATCAATTTAATAATTTTTTGTAAATGTTTTTTATTAAAACTAATCTCCACCCATCAATAATTATTTTTAAAAAATATTTATTTACCATTATTAGAATTATTAGTCCGTCGAAACTCAATTTTAAAATTTTCAATGAGATTGCTATTGAATTTAGCCTTTTCGGTACGATCACAATTATTTCTGTGCCTGTTGTTAAATTGTCTCTTTTGTTTCCGTTTAGGTGTACGTCTTCTCTCACTAGAACTAGGCATGTCATCCAGAAGCTTTTCTGGAGATCGACTGGAAGTATCTAAGTAATCCAACGTCGAGGAGGTTGAAGACAGCCTTTTTTCGGGGCATTTAGGTTTTTGATATTTCACCGAAGTGCCCAAAAGCGGCCGACCTTGAGGAGTAACGCACCAACAATATCCAGTTTCCTTGTGGCACTGAACTGGTGCATAAGTACCATCCGGACGACAAATTGGTCTGTCTGTTGGACGGGCTGTTACTCTTGCTGAAAAGCAGGCCGGTGTCTCTGAAATTTTTATTTTATATTAAATCACTCAATATAAAATAATATAGTGGTACTTAATACTTAATTATTTTTTATTATGATTTGATTAATTACATAATAAATGATGAATATCTGAAGGAATTACCTGGACAAGGACCCTTGTGTTTGATGAGAATTGACTCGCCTTCGCACTGTCTTGAAATAACTTGGCATTGAGAAGGATATGTAACCCCATCACTGCCGCAAACTGGTGTATCCGATTTACCAAACATTGAACATTCTGCGATTTTTTTTCGACATTCTTCCTAAAAATATGAGTAAAAAAATTAGAACTTAATTTTTATAGAATAGGAAAATTATTAAAAGTTAATCATTATAAAAATTTTTAAGTACTAATCAAAAATCTAAATAAATTAATTATAACAGAATTATTGAATAAAAAAGTTTGAAACAATTTTTTAAATTCATAATCTATCTTCAAATACGGATAAAAAAAATTAACTTGCTTAAAAAAAAAAAAAATTTGAACCAAGAAAATAATTTTGAAGAATTACAATGTTTTAAATTGAACAGAATAGTTTTACATTTAAATAAATTTACTTAAAAAATATTTTTTAAATTAATTTTCTTCGTCCAAAATTTCTTCTCTTGAATTAAGATAATTTTCTTATCAGTGAAATAATTAATAAAATTAAATACTGGTGTGATGAAAATTATTTATAAAAATTAAAAAATTCTAGATAAAAAATTAGTAAGATAAATAACAAGTAATTTTTATCAAGTTTAGTTCAAACTTTTAGCTTCAAAAATTAATAATAAAAAAAATTGGTTACATAAACAAACCATCATAAATCATGAATGACATTTTTTTTTTTTTTTATCAACGCATAATTAGTCACTTATGTATAAAATATCAAAATACTATTTGAATATTTATAAAAACCATCATTTACAATCAAGCATCAAGATAAATAAAACTTAATTAACAACAATAAATTATAAACATATCAATCATCTTGTTGAAAATTATTATTATCATAAAATCAATTTAAAAGATTGATAGGATTAAATTGAAAGATTAAAGATTGATAGGATAAAGAAATCAAAAGAGACTTGACAATAAAAAAAATTAATGCATACATATTTATTATGTTTGGCTCACAAATCTCTTAAGCATACTAATTTATTACGGAACTCGAATGATTTTTAATTTCTGTTTACTTCTAGTATTTTAACAAAAATTTTATCTCTATAAAATAAATAGAATCTAATGAAAAAATATCGAATGTCTTCAATGTAAAAATTGTAATGCAAGTTTACTTAAATTAAAAAACTCGAATGTTAACATTAAAATTTTCAAACAAAAGAATCCTTGACATTATTTAAAATATTTACTATTAGCAATAAATTATCTTTATATATAATTTTGTTGCAGAATAAAAAAAATTTGTCTTTCACAACTGTAAAACCTTTCTTGTACTATATATACATGTATATGTAAAACTGATACAATCAGAAATTATAGTTTATAAAAAAAATTTCAGTAAAATTAAACGATTTGATTTCATCATTAAATTATATATCACTTTTATAAAAATTATGAAGTTTATTTGTGTACATACATTCATACTCAATCGAGTCAGGTATTATACATGTATATATAAGTAAAAAAAAAAAAAATCTGAAACATAGTGTAGTAAACATATATCTATTAAAAAATGATTAATGGTTATCGTGTACATAAGTATATAAATATCTTAAACTTTGTTGTTTTTTCATTGACTTAGATGAATAATATAATAGTAGTGTTGCTTTTTCTTGTTATATATATTTCTTAATATAAGATATAGCTTCTTAGTGGCGCCGAGTTAATCATTGCCATCGATCATTTTGCACTTGGCAAGTGATAATGACTATATACAAGTAAAGTAATCCTTTTTGGATTTTGTGGATCGATTTGTTATCACAGACGTCACTCTTCTTTATGATCGTTCTACTTACTTCCCTCTTTCCTTATATTTATTTTATTTTTATCATTATCATAGTTATAACTACTCATTTTTTATTTTAATTTTTAATTATTATTAATGATTTTTTTTTAAATCTATGATTGAGTTTATAAATTAAAAAACAGCAAATTTTAACATCTAGTTTCAACTATGACCAATAAAAATAATAATCTTGTTTTAAACATTTAACTTCGATGAAATTTAATGAAAATAAAGTTAGCCGACATTTCAAAATTTTTAGAAATTTTTTAATTTGTAAAAATTTACTAATTAAACAATTTTGTAATTTAATTAATAAAAAAAAATTTTAAACGTCTGCTAACTTCAGTGTCATTGAAAATTAAGTTAGCCGACACTCAAAAATTTTTGATTTTTTTTTTTTAATTAAAAATTAGAACTAAAAAACTATTTTTAAAAAATTCCACGGATAATTTTTGAAATTTTCTACATGTAAAAATTCTTGTTTTAGTTTTTTAAAATAATTTTTCAATGAAACAAATTATCAAAATTTTCAAATGTCGGCTAATTTAATTTTCGTAATATTATTATTATTTTGCATTACTGAGAATGTGTAGCGATGCGCTGACAACAATTTCCGGCAATTTTTTTACGCATTTCAAAGAAATTAAATTATCATTTTATTAGTCACTCTCTCTACAAAGATAATTTTAAAAAAAATAAAAAAATTGATGACAAGGTGTATCGATGTAGTGGTGAATAATTTGTGCAGATTGATTGGTTACAGTGTATAATTAAAATATTACATGCATGTTGATTGGTATGATATATGATCTATCATTTATCAATACATATATGTATGAAGATATGTGCGTAATCTATAAATAATATTAACGCAAGGACATCCGGTTATTTTAGCTACACTGTTTAAGTACTACGTCAGATATATTTGCCGTCCGTAGTAATTCTCTGGCGCCTGCAAGAATCGATCTGTTAATCGATAATTAAAACACTTATATAGTGACCGCTTTATGTCATTTCCTTGTTATGTAGTGTTAGAACCACATCGTAATTATAATTTACAACATAATAACTGATGTTACAGTGATAATTTCATGATAATTTATATCAAATCATTATACGCCTATAGATTTGTCATTTTATTTTGATCAGATTAATATCTTGAGATTTATCTAAGCTTTGAGTTTTTTGATTTGATATAAAAAAAAAAATACTGATCATTGATCAAATGCAATCACAACTTGTTTTCGTATTTAGACGATTATAAATATTTTAGATTATCTAGTTTGAATCTACAACTCCCGTATCGCAGAAAATATGCAGACACTTGAAAATAATTTGATATTTTGTTTTCAAGTGTTTATAGTGTAGAAAAGAAAGGAAAGGAATTTTAAGTTGAAATAATTGTAAGCTGCACGCGATCGTAATTGACATAATAGCAAATGATTCCGTTTAACTTATGTCATAATAATAGTTTTTAATTGAAAAATAATAAATTTGTGCATTTATTTATTTACATTTGTAGATATTGTTTTTTTGTTAAGCAATATATTTTTTTTTATTTATTTATTTATGATTTAATGCCAAGGCAATGCCCAAATGGCAAAGTATACATTTCAATTTTATTAAAGTACACGTAATGAGTTACAAAAACATTATTATATTGTTTTACAATTTCATTTAGAATATTTTTCTGAGAGTGGATTAATATTAAAAATGAAGAATTTAGTATGTAATATACTCAACAAATCTACCTGTTTCATTTAATATAAATTGTAAAATTATATGCTTAATAATCATTGGTGTCAGTTTATGCTCAGAATTTAATTGTAATTTTATTTACGGAAAATTTTTTAATGTGAAATTAAATTTAATACATAAAACTAAAATTAACACACATTTGATAATTTTTCAACAAAAAAAAAAAATTAGATAAAAAATTCAATGCCATACATTGTAACAAATATAATAATAATAACTTAGATGAAAAATTCCATATCTGTCGATATTGTAAAAAATTATGGATGCAAATTTTTTAATAATATTTGAACCTATCATTATTATATTCGAATTTAAAAAAATGGTAATTATTTACAAGTGGGGTCAACTTTATTTCGGGCAACTTTTTCAAATTTTTTTTTATTCTACTTGTTTTTACAGCGCATTTATGATAAAAACTATCGTAAAAGGAAAAAATAAAGATTTCAATAGCTTTTTTGCCTTTAAAAATTGGAAAAAATTTTGACTCTCTTGTTTTTAAATAAAATTTCTATTTTATAGATTTTTTATATTTTTATTATATTTTTTTTTTTTTTAAAGTAAATAAAAAAAAACGAGGAATTAAAAAAAAAAAATTTAACATGGGTTGACCCCACTTGTAAATATTTACCAAAAAAAATTATTTGAAAAATAACTATAAAAAAATTAAAAATAAAATCAATTTTTCAATAATTATTTACATCAAATTATTATAACGAAAAATTTAAATTTTCCGTACTTTCATATCCAATAATTGAATGAATAAGTCTAATTTAATTATTTTAATCTAATTACAGCTAAAAATTTCACTTCTAAACAATTTTAACTCTACTAAGATCTAAAGTTCAATCACTGCCAATAAAATATATTTTGTTTAAAAAAAAAAAAAATTATTGAAAACTAAAAACAAGCATTTGATTAATGTGATATAAATATTCAATTCCAGACAAAAAATGAATATTTATAAATTACAAAAAGTGTCAATTAAATAATTTCATCCTCAATAAATTATTAATCAATACTGTTCTGAATAATTAATAAATAATTAATAAGAAGTTATTTGCTTGTATATTATCAAATTTATTGGCACAAACGATAAAACTAAAAATAAACTGACAAAAATAAATATCCATTGATATCATTTGATCTTCAATAACAGATTATTCTTAAGAAATAAGAATGTGTACAATTAAATAGTATTAAGTAAAACATCACATGCCCTTATTCCTTCAATATAAATGAACTCAACTTACACTCATCTCAATTACAGCATTAGATGACTATCGTTTAAATTCGAACCAAGATATCTCATCTTTGTAATTGATCGATTGTAATAAGAAAAATAATCTTTCAATGAGGCTTAATAACCTACAGATAGAAAGTTCTCAAGTTAAATGAATGAAAAAATAAATAATAGTGCTCGTTAGAATGTAATAAACTTATTGTTTTACTTGTTATGTACGATTTATCATGTTTGCGGTGTTATAGACCTCTGAATACATATGTATATATGTATACATGAGTTTTAACACATTTTGAGTATTTTTGTGAATGAATATAAAAAGGGCTGATTTATGGTACGGTAACTGAGTCAAATGGTCAAGAGCATACGATAAAAGTTATCAACTCGTAAAAAATGGGTGAAGTAATACATTCTCATAACAAAAATAAATCCAAGATCTTCAAATCGAATAAAAAATATCTTTACTTTTTTTGTCAATGGAATGATAATTTTTTTTTTTAATTATGTTAAGTTGTCGCATTAAATTTTATATCTGTTTACACGTGGTATTAAGTAAGAATTATAAAAACGGAAATCAACAAAAATTTAATTTAATTAACGGATGATAAATTTTAGTTTTTTTAGTGTTTCTATTATCAAATACATAAAATTGGATGTTTATGAGTTTTTTTATACGAATTATTGATAAGTTTAATCAATTATTATCGAATTTATGTAACTTAGAAATAAAACTAATTTTAAAAAAATTTTCCATTTTTTCTAATTCAAGCTATCTTTATTTTGTATAAAATTTGATTCGTAGAATTTAATAAAAAATAATAATTAAAGATGAATATCCGGAAATAAGGACCACCATATGTGGAAAAAATTTTTTATTATTCTTGCCAACGTTTCGTCAAAATTTCTTGACTTCTTCAGAGGGCTCAAAACAATTTGTTTAATCCACAACTGTCAAAATTATATAGTCAACAATGACCCAACTAGTCACACAATATGTCAAGGTATCAATTAAATGTTGATAAATAAATAATTGACTGTAAAACATTATTGAATCCATACACACGTTCCACAATTTCAGTTACAAACAAATATATATTATTTTGAGCCCTGAACAACTGTCAAAATTATATAGTCAACAATGACCCAACTAGTCACACAATATGTCAAGGTATCAATTAAATGTTGATAAATAAATAATTGACTGTAAAACATTATTGAATCCATACACACGTTCCACAATTTCAGTTACAAACAAATATATATTATTTTGAGCCCTGAAGAAGTCAAGAAATTTTTACGAAACGTTGGCAAGAATAATAAAAAATTTTTTCCACATATGGTGGTCCTTATTTCCCGATATTCATCTTTAATTTAAATTTACAAGGACATTATTAACATCATGGAAAAATAATAATGTATGAAAATTTAATGAAAGCTTTTAATTATTAAGTTACTGATATAATTTTCTACGAATCTAAAGAAGAAATGATTGAAAAATTACATTTTTATAAAGGTTAATTTAAACTTTCGAGGTAGAAAATTTTCACTAAATAAACAAATTAAATTGCACCTTTCTTGCAATAGTTTTAACAACAACTGAATATTTAATTAACATTGCATAAATTTATGAAATACACACAATGATAACGATAAAGCGTGTATAAATTTATTAATCTTGTAAGCACGAGATACAAACAACAATCTTGTAAATTTGTAAACTATCAAATGTTAACTTTCCATGCATATAAACTGTGCAAATATACACAAAGGCAGTGTAAATATTTGAATGGAAGCATTAATACATAATATTTCTTTCGTCATAAAGGCAAAGACTTTTACAAATTTACTTAGTGTCGTGTTTTTCTGCTTTGCATACATCTCTTATACTTTGGTAAATAGATTATGATTGTATATAATACAAATTGTTTTAATAGTTAGTCAATTTTTAATTATAAAAGTATATATTATTTAGGTTGTTTTAACTTTTTAATAAATGACAAAAAAAAAATTTAATAATTCACAAATTTTATAAAGCTTAATCATTTTATTTTTAATTAAAATCCATTTCTTCTGTCATTAAAAGTAATTGAAACAAATTCATCTTGAATTATAAATTTTAAATATATTATAAATTATAATACTATACAAGTAATGCATCTTTCAGTATTGTGCGTATTTTTAGCTCAATTATATTCAATACGATTTTTAAAATAGTTTTTAAAAAAATTTGTGTTAAAGTTTAATCTTCATAACATTCTATTTATTATTATATTTAAAAAAAAAAGTATCAATAAGGAATAAACTGTTAGATAATTTTATTTTTCCTATTTTTTTCATAAAATTAAACTTTTTCTATTTGATAATTAATTGGCTACTCATCATTTTATCATGAACATTGTAAATAAATCTTATCTAGTGTATTAATTTTAAATAATTAAGTGTATAGAATATGAAATCCCAAAATTTGGATTTACATAAGAATTTATTTTCTTTTAAATTAAGATTGTTTAACAAAAAAAAAAATCAATAATAAAACTGAAAATATTTTAGTGCTAAAAATGTTGAAAATAGCCGACTTTGGACAATTTTTGTAATGATTAGAAACTAAATAAAATATTAATAGAGAAAAAAAATGATAAAAAACTATTTTAAAAAATTAATGTAAATGTTTTGAAACACTTCCTTCTAATAAAAGATGGAAAAAAAGCATAATTAACAAATAAATGAAATAAAATTAATTACCTTAGCAATGGCAACGGTTGTATTTCCTACTACTTGACAATCTTTGAAAGCCAGCGATAAAACCACAAAAAATAAAATCATTTTTAGAATAAACGAGTTCCAAGTTTTCATTATTTTTTTTTAACTTAATAAATTATAAAAATGTTTTATTCAAATAAATATTAACCACTTTATTTCAATGCAACATTTATTTAAGTAAAAAATACAATAAATAGAACCTTATCACAATCATATTCACTCAATTTCATGTAACTCTTGGGCACATACGATCGCTTCGCAAATTTCACACGTCGTTTTAAAATAAAATTCGTTTAAAATACTCATAATTACAGGGGAGAAAAACTCCCTCTAGAATACTTTCATTGCATTTTTAAAATTTTATTATTTTTTCTTCACACTAAATTCACAGTTTGCGAATAAAAAAATTTTTTTGTTAAATTCCTCAGCATAAAATAGAGTTAAAAAAATAAAATAAAATAATTAAATTTATGACCTGTTGCCGAAATATAAAATATCGAATTAATATAAACTCCAATCGTGGCAAATGCTGGTAAGCAACTGGCACTTGCTACTCAGTATTGGAGCCTGGTGTCTGAGAGCTCTGCTCTGCTCAGTTGGTCTTGACAGGGTTTACTGTCTAACAGAGTGGAGAAATGAAGATGGAGAGGAGCGTGTGCGATATCAAAGAAAATAAGTCAGCCGGGATGGGATGGGAGAAGAGGAGGCAGACACCCAACATTTTATATACACTCTCTCAATTTAATGTCTGTACCAGTAGACTTCATTTTTTGTTTTATTTATTACATTACATTATATCACATATATCATTACTTAAACTATCATATATATACATAATAATTCATATCGAAATTATTTGTTTCAGATACAAGATTAATAATAAATTGTTATTTTTATTCTTGCCAATCATCAGCTTCTTCATAGATTAAAAAAAATCAAGTGTTCAATCCAACCCTCACGCAGACAAAAAATTAATTTGAATCAAAAGAAAAATTCTTGAATCGAGAAAATAATTTTGAAGAGTTTTATTATCAAGAAAAAAAAAATCGTGAATTATGTAAAATTTACTTAAACCAAGAAAAATTTCTTAGTTTAAGAATTTTTCTACTTGAATAAAGATGAAGACATTCTCCAAAATTATTTTCTTGATTCAAGTAAATTTTTTTTTCTGTGCATGTGAATGTAGAAAAAAAATAATTTTTACTTTTTTATTATGTTGTAAGTTTTCATAATTACGAAGTTTTATATACGATAAAAATTTCAATTTTTTTAATTGATTGATTGATAAAAAAAAACTGCTTAATTGAATAAAAAAGTTTACAATATTTAATTTTTTAGGCTAACATTCTTAAAAAAAATGAAGACTATATAATACTGAAATTAGAAGACATCTGACAAGTTTTGGAATTTTTATAATCAATCAATTATTATGAAAAAAAAAAAAATATTTTAAAAAATTCGCACTTCGGTCTAATTAGCAATTGGTCTTACTCCTTATTTTTTAGAGGGTGATTTTTTAACATTTTGATGTAGTAATAGTCTAATTATAAATTATTTGAATGATCTAAACCAAAATATTATATCTCTATTAGATGTTAAATTGTTTTTTAGAGTGATAATACATTTTGAACTAATTGTTTTTCCGTACAAATGAAAGATTCTCTAAAATGGAGTTAGACAATTTGCTAATTAAAACGTCGATGTGCTTTTCTCGTTAAATATTTTTTAAATATTTAAATATCTTAAATTTTCTTTTTAAATATTTTTTTTTTATAATTTAATTGTTATATATCTGTTAAATTCTGTATCATAGACTTTATTTATATCTTAAAAGAATATCTTGACGAAGTAATACATGTTAACTGTTTGTGAGCTGACAAGTTTTTTTACTTATTTATTGTTACAACTATTATTGTAATTTTTACTAAATATTTGTTGTATGTTGGATAATTTCTTTATGATTAATATGATGAAAAAATACCTTTGACATATTCGTATATAATGGTATATAAAGCTAAGTAAAAACAAGTATTAAGCTATCTCTTTAAAAGCCTGAAGAAGCTATAAATAAATAGCGAAATATTGCAATTAAAGGTTTGATAATTAGTGCTTACTGTTTTTGATCTTAAATAAAAATATTAAACATTCGATCTGATTTTTCTTAAAAATTATATTGTAATTAATTTTTCAATTTCTGCTAATAACTTTAGTGGCATAAAAATTTTTTATTAAATAAATTTCTTCTTTAATTATAAATTTTTAAAGCGATTGTAAATTTCAAGCGTTCTCGATTGAAGTGTGTGAAGCATGTTTTTTATTTCTTGCGATGGTGATGAAACTGATTGCTACCCTGTGTATAAATAAATTGTAACAAATAAAAAATACTTTTTTCACCTGAAATTATATAGTCAACCAAACTGGAAGGTATATTATAAAAAGGTTATGCTTACAAGAGAATGAATAGGGAAATCCTGGATCCAAGAATTACGTATAGAAAAAAAGTAACAATAACATTTGGTCGAGACTGTTCGGCGACAACCTGATGTGTTATTCGAGTAGACTATAACTTAAAATCGTTGAGACGAAAGTTTTCAGATGGATGAAGTGTGACGATTTGAAAGTCGATACAGAGAGAGAAAGATAAAAAGAGTCTAAAGATTTTGGGGTCTGTTCTCTTCTTTATACTTTGTTTTCTTTCTCTCTTTTCACTTATTATTTTTTTTTTATTTTTTATTTTTTTCTCCAGACTCCGAAGGTTATTGTCAAGACACTCCCTTCTTTCAACGATAACGATTTCTCAGTAAATAAATAATAAAAATTCATTTATACCTAAAAGATCAGACGGTATAAAATAAATGGATAATTAATATATATAAAATTGCCTTGATTATTCAATTGAAGAATATGAGAAGTAATTAAATTTGAATAATGTAAAAGTAAAAGATAGAGTTAAAATTATCTAGAGTCTATTAATTGATCATTAATCATTGGTAACTATCAAACAGTGACTAATATGTAATATTATGATTTGAACAACTTTTTTATTTTATGAAGATGATATTACAAGCATAATATCTATATAAAGAGATACTATAAACGAAAAGAGGATTTACAATAGTTATTATTGTAAATCATTTGGCTTGGTGGGAGTGGGAGGCTCTCAAAAACGATTCAAAACTGGTTACAGCCATTGGAATGTAGCTTTTAACACGATCCGCGGGCTATCCACGTTCAGAAGATCCCGCAGAGTGTTAGATACTCAGTCGACATCTCATCTACTCATTCTATCTCATCTCTTTCACGGCTAAGATACAAATAAAATAAATAAAGATACATTACGTTATATACACATGTACTTACACAAAGGAATAAAAGAAGTTTGGGGATGAGTGAAAAATGAGAACACATATTCACTAAAGTTAGTCCTAGTTTTGTGGCTCGTTAAATTTTAATCAATGTCCTGATTTATTACATATCGACGGTCTAATTAGAAAATTGTCTAACTACATTTTAGAAAAAATTCTCGTACTTATATTTGTATGAAAAAACAATTAGTTTGAAATTTATTATCACTGTAAAAAAAAAAAAAAAAAACAATTTAATATCTAATAGAGGAATATTTTGATTTGGATCATTCAAATAATTTATAATTAGATTATTGGTACATCAAAATCTTAAAAATTCACCCTCTAAAAATGAGGAGAGACCAATTACTAATTAGACCGTCGACATGTATTTATTATTTATTCAATTTGAATAAGTGTTCTCTAAGGACTGTACAGTACAAAATATTACTCATATTCATAGTGAGTAATTTTATATACATAAAAGTAAAACATATGTAATAGGGTGTGCCAAAATGTAACTTCTTTGATGGACCTCTTAAAATTGGAATTTTGAGTTCAGCTTTTAACAGTAGGAGTTGTGTTTGGGCATTTCCTGACATATTTTGAGCGTAAAGGATTTATTTGATTTTTATAGAATTTTTTAATAAGAGTTTTGCTCGGCTAAATTTTGAAATTTTTAAATTCCAGCAAAAATGGCCGAACGAAACTCCTGATAAAAAATTCTATAAAAATCAAATAAATCCTTTACGCTCAAAATATGTCAGGAAATGCCCAAACACAACTCCTACTGTTAAAAGCTGAACTCAAAATTCCAATTTTAAGAGGTCCATCAAGGAAGTTACATTTTGGCGCACCCTATTATATATAATATCGACGGTCTAATTAGCAATTGGTCTAACTCCTTATTTTGTAGAAGGTGATTTTTTAACATTTTGATATAGCAATAGTCCAATTATAAATTATTTAAATGATCTAAAGCAAAATATTATACTTCTATTAGATATTAAATGGTTTTTTAAAGTGATAATAAATTTTTTACTGATTGTTTTTTCGAACATCGATATATAATGTTAATTAATTTTAATTAGATTAAATTAAGCTATTGAATCTAAGCATTATTAAATGGCTTTATTAAAAAACCAATTGTATGCAGAAGTTTTAAATTCTTTAAAAGTTCTTAGTGTAACAAGGGAGTGTAACTGAATTTAATGCAGTTAGTAATGATTTTTTTTTAAACACACTTATTGATATTAAATTTAGTTTCCAATGAACAAATAATTATTTTTCAATGAATTTTTGATTTCAAATGTTGAAAAATTGAATTTTTCATCTCAGCTCCAATTGATAAATTATTTATTTGTAAATTGTAATGAAAATTAAAAGTTTATATAATGTAATAATAGCTAGAATAAGATTAGTGTAATATTTATAAATAAATATACTATTTAAAAAACTTGAGTTGTTGAATGGGTTTTGTTAAGTATTCAATGCTTGAAATGGTTCAATAGATCATTAATTTTTGCACTCTTCAGTGCTCCAGATACTTCAATCGTTATTTATTCATAGAGTTATAATTAGCGTGTTGATTTTGTTGATTGAATAAAAATGTATATTAATATAGAAAAAAATTTTGAATTAAAATAAAGAAATTTATTTAATAATTTTTAACGCTCTTTTTTGTACCGTTGATTAAATGTTAATATTTTAGATAAATTTTAATAATTTTATTAAGAAGGTAATAACTGG